TTCTGCACCTTGAATGTTGGATCTCATGTTTTTCTGAAGATTTTGCTCTACAGAAATTACAACTCCCAGAAGTCTTACCTCCTTTTAACTCTTCCTGTAGTGGTTTTAATGGGTTCTAGTGGCAATATAAGATAAGCACTGTACTGCGAACTGCAAGGGTTCAAATCCATTAGCTGTTTTGCAAGAGAAAGGTAAAACTACTCTCAAGACTTACAGTTTTGGAAACTCTGTACAAGGTCCCTGTAGAGGGTTTGGAGTCCTGCTGTTGGTATTGTAAGATAATCACTGAACTGCTAACTGCACAGTTGGTGGTTCAAACCCATCAGCAGCTCCTTGGGAGAAAGATGAGGCTGTCTGTTCCCATAAAGTCTCAACAACCCTATGGAGCAGTTCTGCTGTGTCCTAAAGTGTCACTGTGAGTCCTAATTGACCCCCTATCAGTCTGACTTTAGTAGTTTGAAGCATCTTGCTCCCACCCATTTAGAGATGAAGATCCTCACACCATTGTGGTCTGCTGTCTTTGCCAGCATCAGTGGTACACAATATCGGAACAGTTATGTTTTTCTCAGCATGAGCTAGTGCCAGGGTCAGCAAACTACTATAGCCACCTGGCTTCTGTGACTGACAAGCGAATGGTTTTTTCTTTTGTTTTCTTTTTTGCATTGTTAAAGATGAGTAATATTTAATAATGTGAAATTCACATTTCAGTTTCCATAAGTAAAGTTTTATTGAAACTCAGCCATACCCATTTGTGTGTTGTCTGTGGCAGTGTTTAGTGTTGGTGTTGTTGTTAAGTTCCGTCGAGTTGGTTCCCACCCATAGCGACCCTGTACAGGGTTTCTGAGGCTGTAAATCTTTATGGAAGTAGAAAGCCTCGTCTTTCTCCCACGGAACTGCTGGTAGTTTCAAACTGCTGACCATGAGGTTAGCAGCCCAATTTGTAACCACCACGCTACTAGAGTGCTTAGTAGTTGGCAATAAACCTGGAAGTATTTACTGTGTGGCCCTTTACAGAGCGTTTACTGGCTTCCAGTGTAGCGTATGATATGATGGAAACAAAAGAATACAACTCGTCAGAACTGTCTCCACAAAACAAACGTAACGTCAGAGTAGTCATTGGTGTAAGAGGAGCGCCAGAGGAACTGTGTTCAGGTGACCCAAAGAAGGGAGTGACTAGTGTGACAACAGACAATGTAGTGAGTTGGACTGCTAACTGCAAGTTCAGCAGTTCGCATGTACCGGCTGCTTTGCGAGAGAAAGATGAGACTTTCTGATTTCAAGTCTAGAAACCCTGTACAGGGTCTTTATGAGCCAGGATTGACTGGATCGCACTTAACAACAATAAACATAAAGGTCAGTGATTCAAACTCACCCAGAGAAAAATTAACTTATTTAAAGAATCTTATTATGAAGGCAACAACTTCTGATTTGTTATTTAGAAAAAAGTTATATTTCTTTATGCTATATAGTAAAGGTGATGTAAGAAGCTACAATTAATAAGCTTTCTTTTGTATCGTTTGGGTAGACATTTCTGTATTTCTAGAATAAGTTTTACAAGTTTCTTATAGCCCTTCTCTTCTAAAAGCAATGAATAATAATAGAAGATGGCATTTTAAACACAAAAAAGTCATGTCTCCTATTGATTCTGTAGTATTTGAGTCAGTATTTTTGCCATCACAACATAACAGTTTTCACTTTATCCACTTAATATGCTCTGAAACCTCTGTAAATTCAGCATCATTCAAAACAAAAGTCCACACATTCTCTTAGAATCTGCGTATATTTAGAGAAATTGTCTCTGTGCCTAACCCTCTGAGCCCTTGCTGAATTTCTAGCCTTCTGAAGCAGAGCTTGAAACCCTATGGATCAGTTGCAGTCTGCACACCTGGGGCCACCGTGAGTTGCACCTGAATCACAGTCTGTTACATAGGGCTACTTTACTTACTGCACAGGACTTGATGTTTGAGCTTTAG